TGTGTGTGTGTGTGTGTGTGTGTGTGTGTGTGTGTGTGTGTGTGTGTAGGGGGTTCCCAGCACTCCTCAAACCCAGCAGTATTTTAGGTCATTGGTCCACTTTGACTGTTAAGTAAAACCACTGGCCTTCTCTGAGCTGCTAGCAAAACCACGCATAGCGAGAAAGTCCCTAGCCCGGATCACTTCAACCATGTAGGATTGAACAGTTCACAGCACACAGCAGCTTGGGGCAGACTTTAAGGGATTGTGTTCCCTCCTCCCTCCCGATGCTGAAAAGATCCCAAAGACACAGCCAAAGACGCCAGTCTGTGCACAAAAATGATACATTTATTGAAAGAGTATTTTTTTTAATACAAAAGAAAGCTCTGTACAGAGGATGTGACCATGTCCACTATTCCTGGGTCAACATCCCAGGAGAAGTAGAAACCACGGCTGTACCCACACGCAGTCCACATTCACACAATATATTCACTCGGACACAGGCACACGCACACCCCCAGAGCCACTTAGGCCGGGAAACACCAAGGGTTGCTGCACATAGAAAAGCCACCTCAGTCCTGACAAACAGGTTCTCCCAAGGCCACAATCACACAGCACGCTTCGTGGTAAGCACTTTGTCTGATTCACTCACCCAGGCTCTATCTTTTGTGAGGAGGAATCGACACCTCCTCCGGTGTTGGGGGAGGGGCTGTGAGTGGGAGGCAGTGGAGTGAAACAAGGGCAGAGAAGGGGGCTGGGCAGTTACCGACCTGAGTCCCAAGCTCCCCAACTCTGGCCCCTGCTTTACCAGGCCCTAGTCTTGAAAACCACCCAAATGCCCCAGAAGAAAGGCCAGACCGGTGGCATCCCAGCTGGGGAAGTCAGTAATGGGGATGAAGAGGTTGAGGGGCTCAGCACATCAGATCATACCCACAATACCTAGGCTGTGCATGGAACCTTCCCCTAGCCCTTCACCTAACCACAGAAGCAGCCTTGTTCCTACTGAAGGCAGTAGCAAGGGGTTAAGGACACCCTACCCTCTGCCCTCCTGAAAAAAAGCTCCTTTAATGGATACAGGTGGTTTAGGCTGGCGCTGACACAGGGTAAACACCCTCCCCTATGCTAGCCCACCCTCAAGATCCCCAAGGGGATTTTAAGGGGGTGGGGGCATGGCCCTGTACAAATTACATAAATACTGAGGTTACACTTAGAAAAATAAAGTCATTTTCTTCAAGGCTTTTTGTCTTAATTTAAAAAAGTTACAGTAGCTGCTCACTCCCTGGGAGAGCTGCCCGTGTCTGGCTCCCCATTGCTGCACTCAGCACAAGAGCTGCCCCTACCTCTGACCCCCATTCCTGTGTCTCCCGACCTCCCCAACCCCATCCTGCTCACTGCACCTTGGGCCCCAGACAGCCGCAAGCCTGGAGGAGCACAAGGCTGCAATGACCATGCTGTGGTACAAAGGGACTCAATCTCCTCTACCTGACCCCTCCCCCCACCCCCACATTTGGTCTCCCTCTTCCCTCTTCCTAACAACAACCCTAGAGGGCAATAGAGGCCTAGAACTGCGGGTCACCCTCCCACCCCCCCTTTTGTGGCATGGCCTGAGGGCCCCTCCCCCAGCTTTCTCCTGGAAAGAACCCAGGATGTGGAGCAATCCCAGAATCTCCCACACACAAACACTGGTGAACCCCGGAGCTCATGGGGTGGCTGTCCCCAGGGCCCAGACAGTTCTTGGGAGCCCAAGAGTTTCCCCAGGAAAGGGGAGTTTGGGCAGGAAGGGGGATGAGAAAAACGCCATTAAAAAAAAGTTAAATATTTGAAAAATATATATTTATAGATTTGTTTTCACTTCATCTCCTCAAATAAAAAGTTCAAAATCAACTTTTAAGTAAAGCAGCTGGGAGAAGGGGGGAAGACCAAGGGAAGGAAGAGAACACTAACGGTGGTTCCCTCCGACCCAGGAGCCCCTGGAGGTCCATGGGAACAGAGGCATGGCAGGGCAGGCAGCCCTGGTAACCTGCCCAGCGCACAGGCCCAGCTGTCCCAGGAACTGAAAGGGGCAGAGGGCGACGGTGTGAGACAAGAAGCCCCCATCTCTCCCAGCTGGCTCCCTGAGGGGCAGGGGCAGGGCTCTTTTGACCCAGACCATGGCAGACACAGAGCTAACCAGAGGTCGCCAAAGAGGCTGGAGAGAGGGCCCCCAAACGCTTCCTCAGAGGGGCACACTGTGCGCAGTCCCACAGAAGGCCTATGAGTGGGGAGGTGGGCGCAGGCCCATCTGGTGGGCTAATACTCAGAGCAAACATTGAGCCAGGCTGGCAAGGGGTCTGAGGAGGGAGGGAGGCTCCACCATCAACAGCATGGCAGGCAGAGCAGGAGGGAGGGAGCTGGGGGAGGGTGGGGGAGGGCAGGCAGGCCCGGTTCTTTGGCTGGAGTGAGAGGGCGTAGTCCTGTGGCTGCCCACTCCTTCTCCCGGCCTCCCTCCTTCGGCCAGTCAATGTGTGTGTAAAGAAACCGTGAAAAGGCAACAATAAATAAGTGGTGCTGTCCCTGGGCCGGCTGTCCAGGGCGGCGGGCGGATCAGTCACTCTTGGTGCTGTGGGTGGCGTCCAGGTTTACCACCTGTAGCTCGGTGAGGTTGCTGCTGCTGCTCCCGGCTTGCTGCCCTATCACGGCCATCTGTAGGGAGGGAGGCGTGTGAGAGGACGGGAGGCAGGAGACGAGCGTGCTCAGGCGCCCCCTGCTGGCCCGCGGTCCCAGCACAGAAACAGCAGGGCCCCAGGCTAGGGAAGACAGGGAGGACAGGGAGGTCCACCTTACCTGGTGAAGCTGAACCGCAGAGACAGGGATCTGCACGGTCCCAGACGGTGCTGTCAGGAACACCTGAGGGACACCACCTGCCAGAAAGCACGGAGACACTCAGTCCCTTGCCCAGGAGGAGCTCTAGATGTTGGAGGCGCATGACAGTCACAAGTGTCTGGGAAGCCTCAGACACGTGCCCAAGGGTGTGTGCCCCAGAGTCTCACGCCCAGCATGAGAGTGCCTGTAGTGTGAGGGCTTACATGCGCATTAGTGTCCAAATGTCTCACTGAGTGTGAGAGTGTCCGAGTCTGTGCGTTTGTGCAGGAGTACATGTGGGCATGGGGGAGGGAAACGGGGTGAGGGTGTGTGTGTCAGCGTTGGAGCTGGGGCACACAGTGCCTATGAAAAGGAGAAGTAAGTGGTCCTTCTTTCTTCAGCCCTGGCCCTTCCCTCACCTGGCTCCTGGACCTGGCTGTGGGACACCTGCATGGTGGATGGTGCCTGAGAGAAGGCATTGAGCACGGTGAGGCTGCCATCAGCCAGGCCCGAGGTGGGGGCATACATCACTGCATGGGGACTAGGGTACATCATGTGGCCACCCACAGTTGTGGGTACAGACGACGTCATGATGGTGGCGGGCAACGTCACTGGAAAACACAGACACACATCAGGGAGCCGACCCCTCTGGGTATATCTCATCCTGCCCCAGGAGTCCGACCTTCACGATCTCTGTGCCATGTCCTATGGCACAAGTCTGTCAGAAGCTTGGTTCTTTGCTCCTTGTCAGCAACAACAAAGCCTAACTTTTTCTTCTGAGCACAACAGCTCAGTGTCCTACTGTGGGACTGTGCATCCAAAGTTTCCGACCCCAGCTGCTAGGATCCCAGTGATGACCTCTCCTCCAGGGAAGTCCAGGCACTCTCTGAGGAAACACCATCTCTCAGACCCTCTCACTCTTCCTGAGCTCACACTGACGAGTCCATCTTGGACACACACAAGTCTCGAATGGTAATGCAGGAACTCACTAAAGTGCCCATTCTGACTCACTTCAGACTCTTCCTGTCCCCCAATTCCCAGGGACGCCAGTCCCTAGACCAGCAGGGATTCAGCTAATGTGTGATTAATAAGGACGGAATGGCAGGAACTTACATGTGAGAGTTCACTATAAGTCCTGTAAAGACCAACGGCAGCTGAGAGGAACTGGTGAGTCCTCTAGTGTCCCACATGGTGATAACTGCTCTTGGTCCTCCCTGGTTATTGAGTAGATAATTTTTCAATGGCTCCTTATTTCTTCCTTGATGCCCCACTGCAGAGCAGGGTTCAAACCTCAGCCAGGCTTACCTAGCCTTCCTCTAAGGATGAAACCAAAAGCCCGGTTTCTACTTAGTAAATTCCCTGGGGGCCTCAGTACAGGAGGGACATGCTACTTAAGTACCTACTTCTAGGCTTCCTGTGGGAAGGCAGGACACTGGGGTGGGAGAGGGGAGTGGCAAGGAGTTATACCTGTCCCGCTGGAGGAGGTCTGCGTGAGGTCTGTGCTGCTGTCACGAGAGGGAGACGCTTGCTGAGGGGCCTGGTGCACGTGAATGGCCTGCACAGGGACCTGCTGGGCCACTGCCCCACCTAGAAGACACGGGGCTTTACTGGGGCTCCATCCTATGCAGCTGTCACCTTCAAACATGTTAGAGCACTATAGTCCCAGGGTCCCGTACACTGGCTCCCAATTCCTGTCACTTTCCCCTGGGAGTGAAGTGACTTCCCTCTTCCTGCTGTCCCAAGCTTTGTTCCATCTTTCTCAGCTGACCTAGAGCTAGGCTCACCCCATCAAGGCCATAATCTGCCCCTGCCCCTGTCACTGCAGACTGGGGAGTGCCATCCCCAGAGCAACGGAGGTGCAGGGGGAGCTGGCCAGACAAGACCAGTGTGGACATGAAACATGGACACTAACAACACGGATCTCACTGGGCAGAGCCTGTCCTCCGAAGGGAGGGGGTGATTCTCTCTACCTAAGCCATGTTTACTCTCCTTCTTGTCAAACAGAGAGGTCCTCCTGGTGCTCGCCCTAAAATCACTCTTAACACCCCCAGTCTGTCCCTGCCCCATGACTCACCAGGCATGAGGGTAAAGCTGGTAGGCAGCTGCATGAGGCCCCCAGAGGAGACAGGGCCGCTGCCCGTACTCTTGAGCACAGTCCCGTTGGCACTGCTGACAGCGCTGGGGCTGACACTAGCAGACACTGGTGCCAGGTAGTTGGTGATGGGGAAGGAGGGGCCGCTGCTGACTTGCATGGTGGTCGAGGTGCTGGGAGCTGTTTGGATTGTGGAGGTGGTGCCCGGCAGGTTGGTGACTGTGAATGCTGGCTTCAGTGTGTCCTATACCCAGAGTAAAGATGGGCCAGTGAGCTTCTAACAGGAACCTTATCCCTGCAGTAGCTCTGTGTGAATTGAAAATTCAGGTTCAAATTTGTATTTCAGTTAAAACTCTAGTTACAACTGCACCATGCACAACCTGAAGCTGTCGCTGGGCATGGGAACAAGGCCTGGAATCCTAGCACTTGAGAGGCTGAGGCAGAAAGACTTCCACGAGCTCATGGCTAGCTTAGTCTATACAGTGAGACCCTGTCTCAAAGTTTAAAAACTAAAACCATAAAGTCAGGTGTGATGGCACATGCCTATAATCCCAGCACTCAGAAGGCAGAGGCAGGAGGATCTCAGTGAGTTGGAAGTTAGCCTAGTCTACATAGTAAGTTCTAGGATAGCCAGGCCTACATAGAAAGACCGTGTCTCAAAATAATAAATGAATATTAAAAAAAACAAACAAAAATTACAACTACTTAACTCATAGGCTGTTAAGAAGATTAAACAGGCTAGCATCCTTAAAAGCCACTTAGAGAAAAACATCTGGCTAAAAGCAAGATAAAGCTAGACATTTGCAGCTCTCAGAATGAAACCTACAGTGCATTCCTTGCTCCAGGGAACTGCACAAATCTCATCCAGTGTGTTTCTAGCTCTGGGTGACCGTCTGAGTGACCCCGAGATAGTCCCTCCCCTTGTATTCCCCTTAATTTCCTTCACTACAAATGAGAGTGTTTGGGCTTGTGTTCTCTTTAAAAGGATCCCGCCAGGCTCTAAAACAAAGACTGGGATTGTCAAAGTACATAAAGTTTGAGAGGGTTCATAAAGGTTTGACAGGGAAGCACTCTAGCCAAAGATCAACGACCAAGGCACTTACCCACGTGCATAGAAATGTGGCCTACACACGCCTGGAAATGACTGCAGGTAACAGGTAACTAACGGAAGGGGGAACCTGGAGTCTTGACTCTGGGGCCTTTGTTCTTAAGGGTAGTGCGGAAGCCAGGCCTTGAGAACCAAGCCAGCAGGCCTAGATCCTGACTTCAAGCAGAGGATTCAAAAAGCAGGGGTGGGTCAGACCGGGATGTTTGCTAGGCAACTGTCCCCAAGACCGTTGATTGGTAAAGGCGTTGCTAAGGCAAACAGTGCCGCTTCCTTCCATTGGCCACTTGTTAAGCACCCGGAAGGCGGAGCTCCACAAACAGCAAGCAGAAAGACCCGCCCCTCTCTCCTTACCGGGAATAAGAAGGGGGAGGCGTGTAACTAGAGCTGGCATCCTTAGTTGCAAGCCAATGCTCTTCCTAGAACAGTCCAGGCCCAGGTATCATGAACACTCAATAGAAGGCTCACTCCTGAGGTAGTCCCTCGTCCAATCTGACTGCTCACTTGGCAGCAGCAGTGGATTCTCAGGACCCTGGACCCGGAGAGAGCTCCCTTCCTAGTCCCAGCCTGCCAGGAGGGCAGGGCCAAACTACACCCCCGCCCCCAGCGGGGAGACAGCTGGCGGGAGGAATGCAAAAGCCTTGCCAGGCAGGCGGGCTGCGGGCGGGAGGCCGGCGTGGAGCCCGAACCTGCCTTATATGGGCACGGAGGCCGCCTGCTTATCTATGGGGACAGCCTCCTGTCAGGAATGGAGGATGGACACCTGTCTCCTAGGATAAGGAACAGTAACCTGGCCCCACTCCTCGTCACTCAGAGCATCTATGTACCTGTGCTAGTCCAAGAAAGGAAAGGGACCCCTCCCCCCACATAGGTGACCCAAGAAACACACCTTGGTCTCCCCACTGCTGTCAGATTCCGACACCTGGTAGGTGAGATCTGGCTCTTCAAAGCCAGTGGCACTCATTCTCTGGTCTGTGGTGGGGTCTGAGCGGGGAGGAGAGTCTGGCGAGTTGAGGCAGGTCTGAATCAGCGCCTTGCCGGTCTCACTGGTGATCATGGGCTGCAGTTTGCGGGTGGCAAAGGTATACACATGGCCTGTCTCACTGGCCACCAGCAACAGCACCTGTGTCCCTGTCAGCGTGGACAGCTCATAGGCCTGGGGAGTTGGGAGGAGATGGGCAGGTCAGCAACACTTTTCCTCTCTACTTCCCTCGGGAAAAATTATAGGTGATCTCCAGCGCTGACTCCTGGGATGACCTTCATCCCTGGTGACTGCAGCAGGGTCCTATCTAGATAGCTCAAGGTGAGCTGGAAGCACAGAGACTACTACGTCCTTTACGAAGCAGGCCCATTGCCTGCAGGTACCCCAAGCAAACAGGAATAGCTTCCAGCAGGGACTGAGCATATAACCTCAAGGTGAACACACCAAGCCACAATTAGCTATCCCCTAACACTGCTTGGTGTCCGCTTCCTCCTCACTGTCACAGGACTGTCAGGTCCCCACCACACTAGAACTCACACATTTGTGGTACCAGCCACCTAACTGCCAACTGCCCATGTTCCCTGCCAGAAAACGGGCGCTAACCTGTTGCCATACACTACTTTGCCTGTAATACTACACTGCCCTTTTTTTTTTTTTTGCCTTGGGATCAAAGGAGAAAAGGTACGCTCTACCTTTCCCCAAACCTTCTCCATGATGACCAAGGGTTACTGATAAGAGAGCTACATTTGCAACAGATATTCTGCAACGAGAGCCCCAGCTAAATAAAATGCACAACCCACCTTGGAAGCAGTTGCAGCTTCTACAAGGAACAGACAACACTGGTTCCCACCCAGGTTGTAGGTGGTTTCCCAGCCCCTCTGCTTCCATCCCTTCCCGTATCTCCTAGACGCCAAGACGACACCTATCCTTGCCACTTTTGATAGGATATCAGCTGACAAATGATACCGCTACTTATCCTCCTGACTTTCCCCAACATTCCACGCACTGATTTGCTCTAGAGCTAGAAACCCTACCTGTCCCGAAGGCCAGAGATTCTGCAGGCAGCCTTGGGGCAGCATGAGATTTCCACAAAAAGCAACGGAAGACACACGGCCAGGACGGGACTCGAGTCCCAGCTTGCTGTTCCTCAAGGCAGCAGCAGTTCTCCTGCCTCGCTTCCTCACCTGGTCCCTACCCCTGCCTGTCCTTCAAGCCCGCACAACTGTAGCGATGCCCACCTTCCCTCCCACTCAAGCCCGCTCACTGCTGTCATCCAACTCCTGCCTCTTCATCTCCAAACCTTCTGCTCCCTTTTCCACCGCCCTTCCCGCACACCGGGACCCCGTGGATCCCCGCGTCGGGTTATCCACCTTCCTGCCGGCCCCTGCTCACTCCTGCACTCCTCCAGGACCCCGGGTCTCCCGCGCGCCGGTCACTCCCACCTCGGCGCCTCTGCCCTGCATTCCGGACGTTCGTTCGCAGCATCTCCCCTCTCCCCAGATTTCCCCGGCGGCCCCTCCCCTATGGCCCGGCCAGGGGACAGCCATCCCCTCCCACACACCTCCCGCGGACTAGCCCGCCTCTCACCTCCGCCTCAGCTGTCTCGCTCCCGGGCCACCTTAGAGCGCACCCACCCTCTGAGTCCCCCCGGGGCGCGCCAACCTCCGGCTCCGGTACCTTCTTCATGATGCCCGTCTTCCTCTTGCTGAAGGTCGTGTAGCGCCGCAGCTTGTTGTCGATGAACTCCATCTTGATCTTCACGCGGCCCCGGGTCTTCTTCCCCGGCTTGGCCCCGCTCACCGCGCCGCTCACCGGCCCGTAGCCCCCGGCGGCCGCCGCCGCCGCCTCAGGCCCACCGACCACCACGCCGAGCTCCATCTCGCTCAGACTCCGCTTGAGGCCGCGCCGCTCGGCGCCCAGCTCCTCCTCCTCGCCGGACTCCGAGTCACCCTCGCTGCCGCTGTAGAGGGCCCCGGCGGTGGGCGCCGCTGCCGCTGCAGCCTCCCGCTCCAGACGACTCTGGCCGAGCCCCGCGCCGTTCCCAGGGACCCGGCCCCCGTTCGCCCCGCGAGTCCCACCGCCGCCGCCCGGCCGCCCCGTCGGGGTCCGGTTCAGGCTGCCCCCCAGGGCCGAGCCCCGGCCCAGAGCCGCCGCGGCTCCAGCTTGGCTCGGTAACATGGCGCTCAGTGCAGGAGGGCGGACGGACGAGTCAACGAGGAATCGGGATCGCTGCCGCCATCGGCTTCCCGGTTCCACCCGGCACTCCCGCTGCTGCTACAGCCGCTCTCGCTGCCGCGGACGCCGCTGCGAACCTGGGGCCCCCTGCACGCCCGGGCCGACCTGGGCCCTCACTTTCCTGCCCCTATGGCCGGGGTTGCCCCAGGCCGCGCGCAGCGCCCCCTGTCCGTGTGCTGGGGAGGCGCGCCCTGCGGCCGTCAGCGTCCCCCGCGGGGCAGGGGCTGCTGGCCGCGGCCGAGACCGCGGGTGGAGGGGGCCGGGACCACGCGCTGGCGGCGGAGGTATCCCCCAACCCTTCCCCCCCCATATAAAGAGATACAATGTTTCCTTTTATGGCGAGGCCGCTCCTTATATGGCGAGCCCCAGCGCCCCCGCCCCATTGGTCCGCGCTTCCGGCATCTCCGCTCCCCATTGGCCCGAAGGGGACACTTATTTGCATAGACATACCGAACTCGCTGCTGTCATCCTGCGTCAGACCGCGATTCCGTAGAGGGGAGGAGCCAACTCCTTAAAGGAACAGTGGAGCCGAGCCAGTTCCGCCCCCCTGTGTCGGAGAGTAGTGGAGTGTTACTGAAACTATCCGAGTAGAAGCCTGGGAGAGGACTGGAGGGCAGAAGAGGGAACCCCCCTGAGTGTATTGGGGCTTGAAATAAGTGAGGAAAAATACTTTCTAATGCCAGCGAAGGAGTGCAGGGATAGATTGGTTCTCCCACCACTTCCTGAGGAAGGTAAAGTGATTGGAGCCGAGGAAACGCGAGGGTTTCGACTCCGCTAGCCCAGCGGCTCCACTCGTTCCGCTACCACACACACACTCGCCTTTCTCTCTCTTTTCAAAGGATCAACACTTTCCCACAAGTCTGGCTGCGAGGTCACATCGTTCATCATCCTCTGCACTGGGGGTGGAGGGGTGTCTTTGGCAGACACACATCTGGAGGAGGAGGAGGAGACACAGAGACACCATGATGGGGGCAGGGCTGAGAGTGAGAGGTCAGTGAAGACTTCCAGCTGCCGACTGGGCTGAAAGAGAGGGGGTGGTCTCGAGGATAAAGCAAAGGCCTGAAACTACAGTGGGACAGAAAATTTAAACAAGGGAGTGATCGACATTGCAGGTCCATAGGAGGGTTTTAATTAATATATAAAGATAAATAGAGATACACATAGAGACAGATATATATATATATGTCTGTATGTT